TCACCGATTGGAACCCTAACCTTAACATAGGGACCTTATGAGTGGGCCTTTGGGAGCTGCGCCTTCTTGAAGAGGATGAGTGCCTTATAAAAGACACCCAGGCCCACTTTCCTTGTGGAAGCACTTGAAGCAACCTCCAGCACTGAGAAATTCATTTATGTTGTTTGTGAGCCACCATTTTGAGGGTATTTTGTAGTAACAACCCTGACAGATGAAAAAGGTCCCCAACACTTGCTTCCAGAAACACAATTTTCCGTTTGTATATTTGCTTAATCTTTACACATCTTTTCACTATTGTGAAGTCTTAGAGCAGCTGCATACAGTGTGGTAACACCTGAGGTAACTTAGGATCTGAAACAGTAGGAAGAAGGTGGACAGGTGTGTCATTTCCTCAGCTAGTTTCCAGCTAGATCTTCTGAACAGATGTTCCTTAGCAATTTCCCTGAGCCAGATACATCAAGCCTGGCCACAAAGGACCATGTGCAGTGAGTTTTGAGTCCTGGTGTGGGATGATATCTTCCCCTATCGCCACCATGCTCAGGGAGTCCTGGTATGAGACTGCATCTGTCCATCCTGACTACTCAGAGAGTCCTCATGGGGGATGTGTTTTGTCGTTCCTAGCCAAAGTCAGGTAGCACATGGAGAAGCCATTGCAGGTGGAGTATTTCTGTTCTGAGAAGTTTTGAGCCCAAGGCTGGTAGGTTTTCTGAAAGGACGGATTCCCTTCCAGGACAGTTTGCCACTAGGAAAGGACTTAGCACCCAGAGTAGGGAAGAGGTACAGGGATGAGTCCAGGGCCCCAACAGGCTACCTTCCTGTGGTGGCTAAGGCAGCATGCAGAGTGCCATTTGCCAGTGAAGCCCAGAGTACTGTTGATTAGCCTTTTAGGTACCTCTGCATCCATATTCCAGACCTGGAAGGACCAGTCTCAGCATAAACCTGTGATTTGTCATGGACAGGGTATGATGCTGCTTTTTCAGAGAAGGTTTTAATCAGCATAATCAAGTTTGCCATCAGAAGTTGACCACAGGCCTCCTAGAGGACAGCCATCTTGGAACATCTCCCATCATTAGCCATGGGGGGAACCTGCAAGGTTCCTGGGGACACGAGTGAGAGAGAGGTGGCAAGTCAGGTCCTCAGCCAATGTGTACCCATGGCTCTCCTGTGTTGGCCACAAAAGAAGATACTATTGTCTCAACAGTATGGTGCTGGAAGTATTGATGTGGATGGGTCGCTGGGGCCAGAAAGTACAGCTCCTGCCTCTGGGACCATCAAAGCAGCAACGGCCAGTCCAAGTAGAGGTCTGTGACTGGCTATTTACTTTGTAAAAAGACTCATTCCTGTGTGTGTGTGTGTGTGTGTGTGTGTGTGTGTGTGTGTGTGTGTGTATTTGGTACTACAGATTAAACACTGAGTTACAACCCAGCCCTTTTTGTTCAGTTTTTATTTTGCATGGTGTCTTGCTAAGTTTACCAGGCTGGGCTTGAACTTGGAAGTGCTCCTGCTTCAGCTCCTCTGTGTTCAAGGATAACAAGTGTGCATCATCATGCCCAGCTCTGCTCGTATGTTTTTCTTAGAAACTCTAGTGCTGGCCTAGGCTCCATGTACTGGCTTGGAATGTGATAGGTGTTACTCTAAATGCTCACTCTGATGGATGTCACTTGCTCAGGGCTCAGCCTGATCTCAGGCAGGTCACCCACATTAATGATAGCATCTTGTCGTATTGAGTTTCGGTGATCATTCTTGTCTCCCAAGGCTTTGTAAGATATAGCTGGGAAGCATGGCTTATGGTTTCCAATACTGAAGTAGGACCAGGATGGTTAGACAAGCTTAATATTTCAGTTTAAATTTTCACATATCTTTCTGTGGTAAATTAGGATCAGCTGCTGACCAGACTCGAGGTCTATAGATCCTACCCAGTGCAGGTTACTGGGAGCACATATGCACATTAAGGGAGCAAGAGAGAACTCTGGAGCCAGTGCCTCAGTAGGATTCTGCTCTTATTTGCCTACAAGAATCATGAAGTGAGCCAGACAGGGTGGCACACACCTTTAATCCCAGCACCAGCAGGAGACTAAGGCAGGAAGATTACAAGTGAGAGCCAGCCTGGGTACCTCAGTGACTTAATGGGACTGTGTCTCAAAATAAATCCCCAGCCTGAACTCAAAACAAGATATGAGGGCCCCCTCATTCCTATACCTTCAGTCAAGAAGCAGACATGCACACAGGGTATGTGTATCTTAGGGACATACCATGTAGCACCCTCCCAAGTAGGTGAGGACATTGAGGACTATGTTTACGTCCAGTCTGTGTGTGTGTGTGTGTGTGTGTGTGTGTGTGTGTTTCAGTTTCTAGTGTTTTTAAATAAGCCAGTTGTTTTTGATGAAACTGATTGCTCTTCATTTTCTGTTGTACAAGTCTCGCCTGAAATCAGAAGGTTGTTTTCTTTAGTATCTTCTCTGACTTTATCTACATGGGGATGGCAGGTACTCACTACCAAGCAGAGGCTCAGAGGTCTTTCCAGTTTGGCCTCTAAGGTTGCTTTTTGCTGTCCTGTTTCAATTATTATGTATTCTTTTCTTAGACGCACATGCATACATGCAGCAGTCCACCAGCCTAGTGCTGACTCAAGGATCCGACAACCCAGCCAAGCTGGCCCAGCTATGCTTTGGGAAGCCCTGTGTCCTGGGGATGTCCCCATGTGGTCTTCTGTGAGCACTCTTACCTGTAGGTGTCCTTCCCCTCCACAGTACCTGCCCAGGATGTGGCAGGGGTCATCATCTTCACCTGCTCTCTGCTGGTGGGCCTATACCTTTTCCTGCCAGTGACTTGTAGACGTCCTATATGAATCTTACAGCAGTTGTATGTAGTAATGAGGGCTCCTCATGGAACTTTTGTTTGGTTAAAGAGAATTCCTTCTAGTTTTAGTTTAAGAATTTTTAAGCCAGGCATGGTGGCACATGCCTATAATTCCAGCATTTGAGAGGCTGAAGCAGGAGGATTATTGCGAGTTTGAAGCCAGCCTAAACTATACAAGATGCTGTCCCAAAAAACCAAAAAGAAAGAATTTTAAAAATCATGAATGGCAATGGGTTTTATCAAATGATTTTTATGAGTCAGTTGGGAAGAATATATTTTCTCTAATCTTTAGTTGTAAGTGACTTTTTCTTCTCACATGGCTACCCCCTGTGTTGTAGGGATAAACCTCACCTGGAGAGATGGCCTTGTCTGTTGTGTGTTGCCGGATGAGGGTGGCTGATGTTCTGGTGAGGCTTGGGCTGGTCTGTAATCTTCCTCTCAGCTTGGACCTGTCAGGGTTTGGTGTACATGGAGTTAGTCTTGTGAAGTGAGTTGGAAATACTGTCTTTAGCTTTGTGTTTGTTTGTTTGTTTATTTATTTATTTTTTAAATCCCAGTGCTGGAAAGTGAGCCTAGGACCTTGAACAGACTAAATAAGCATCGCATCCCCCAAACTGAGCTACAGCCCAACCCCAAAATATTTTTGTTATTGTTATTGTTGATGTCCTCATCGATAGAGTGGTTTGTTCTCAGGTTGGGAGGAGCCTCTTGGACACTTCTAGGCCTGGAGTGTTCTTTGAGGGACATTTTATAACTACCCCCTCAACCCAATAGTAATGGGTTTTCTGTACTTGTCCCAATTCATATGGATTATTTTTTCAGCAGTTCATCAGTTTCATATACGTTTCCATTTTTATTGGCATAAAGTTGTTCTCGGTGCTGTTTATGCTCATGTCCTGCCTGTGTGTCGGCACTGCAGTCCATTGGTGCTCTTCCTCCTGGCTTGATTAGCAGTTGTCAGCTCTGGACATACTAGATGATTTACCTCTGTGAAGTACTGTCTCTGTGAATTGTGTGGCACTCAGGTCTGGAGCCCATAGCTGGACATGGACCCACAAACCACAACTTAATGAAAATTAAATACAATTAAAACTTCTGGTTCCTCAGTCCAGCAACCACTTGAGTATTTCTCCTGTGCTTAGAGGCTGCCATCCTGGGAAGAGGGCAGCAAGTAGCACATCTGCTCATCGTCTGAACTCATCGATATGCCTGTTAGTCCTGGGAAGACTGGCTCTTTTGGTGAAAGTTAGCAGAGTTTAAAAATTGGTTGCTAAAAAATGCAGCTGTGGAAGAACTTGAAGGGAAGAAATGTCCATGTGGGTACAGAAGGAGGGTCCTGATTATGCATGCAAGAGCTGCTTGTTTCTGAACTGACTGCATCCCTGTGTCATCCTGAAGCCCTGGGTCTCTTGCTAGTAGAGCCCTAAAGAGTGACTTTGGAGAATGACACCTGGACAGCCCAGTGAAGCTCTAGGGCTCCCTCACAGTGTAGTAGCCCCCACTTGCCTGGTCCATGAGCCAGAGTCCCTGTGTGGTCATTCAAGTTCAGACCCTGTGGTCATGCTGCCAGGGATGCCCTAGCCATACCTGCTGCCCTGTTGTTGCCTTCAGCCATTGGTACTGTGAACACCATACTCGCTGTCCTCATACTCATCTTCTGAGCCCCAGCACTGGGCCAGAATCCACAGAGTCTTTAGCATATATTCGTTGAGTGGATGGGAATATCTGTGACTGGAAAGAAGATGGCTCAGTCTGGATGTGAGGACGCAGAAATCACAGACTTCACATGAATCCAGTAATAAAGTTTGCCACTTGCTGCCCCTCCCCAGGCTCTGCATTCTGATCTGCCCTGGGGGTCCCATCCTACCTTTAAGGCCCCCATGGTAGTGTGTATGTTGGAACCTCTCCTCCACCTCAGGCCTGCATCTCTGCTTGTGATTTCTGATAGCTTCTAGGCTGGCCAGGGTTTGGAAACACCAGGCTGTGTCTCTGTGATAGAGTCTCCTTTATGGCTAATTCTCATTTCCCGTTGCCTGTTTTGCACAAGTAAACAAGCAGGCGTGCTTCACCAAGCAAGGTACAGAACTGCAAGTAGGTATCCTGTGTCTTCCCATAGTAACACCTGCTCTGTCTCCCAACAGGCTTCACCATGTAGCAGGGACTCCAGCTCTCCCTTGCAGGTGAGTACAGATCAGTCCCTTCCTTTTCTCAGTGGCCAGGACTTGATGTGCTGTGCCAAGTGTGGTGCTGGGTGTAAGTATCAGAGCCATGAAGAAGGTCCTACAAGCATCATCTCCAACCACTAGGTGGAGTTCTTTGTACCTGGTTTTCCTCTCCGTGTTTCAGATAGAGCTATCATCTTAGCACTCCAGAGAGAGGATCTGTGGGGCAAGGTTATCCAGGGGCCACATCAATGCTGTGCTGTGACCAGAGGTAATAGTTTTGTTTTTCTGCTAGAAAATGGAAAGAGAGCAAGGGCCAGAAGGAAGGTGCAGAAGTGAACCAGAGAGCAGCGTGAGGAGTAATCATCATATCTGCATGGTGGCCTGAAGCCTCCATGCCACGGCAGGAGGAGAAACACGCAGACATCCAGAGGAGGTGAGGCCCAGATTGGGTCTCCATGCACAGGGCATCCAGGGGAGGCAAAGTGGCTCCATCTGCAGGGTTTCTTGTGTGTGTGGGTGTTGTGTTGCTGCTGAGTGCTCACTATGTCCCTGAGAAGCCTTTTTGTGCTCTTGATCAGGCAACTCTGCCCCAGCTCCTTCCACCTCAGCTGCTCAAATGGGCTCTTCCCACTCCTGGGTGTCCCAGCATTGCAACCTTGTATCCCCAGCTCCAGGCCCTTCTCTGCCTGCCTTCCTCTTCTCCATAAAGTCCCCTCCTGCTGAGCCTGCCTAACCTCCCCTCACTGGGATTGGAGGAGGGTATGGGAACAGAGAGGCCAGAGTAGGGTGTATCCCCCATGGCTGCAGTGTGCCAAGGGGATTGTCATGCCACTCCCCATGGAGTGTGTCCTCCAGCTGCAGAAGTGGGTTCAGTGTGGGTGGCTCACACATGTTGTGCTGCGGCCATTGTCGTGCTTGAGCCCTGGATAGCACTTAGCGGCAGTTGCATGTTGCTAGTTATATGTGTATTTCTCCTACAGAAGCCAAAGATGTTGACCAGAAAGATAAAGCTCTGGGACATAAACGCCCACATCACCTGCCGCTTGTGCAGTGGGTACCTCATTGACGCCACAACGGTGACCGAGTGCCTGCACACATGTAAGTGTGGTTGGGTACTCCAGCCAGCCCCATGGTCATGAAGGCAGTAGGGCTGGGAAAATTATGTCAAACTAAAAATACCATGACAGTTCCCTGAAGTGAGGCTTCTTTAGGAGAGCTGAATGTAAGAAGCCAGCTTTTTGTGGTCAGTACCTCAGTCCCTGAGAGAAATGGTATTCATGCCTGGCAAAGAGAGATAACTATGTCTTAAGTTGGAGTAAAGTCCTCACATCTGTCAGAGAGAGGGATCTACTAGCTCTTCTCACACCTGATCGCCTGTTCTGATTATCTGGGATCTCAGTCTGTGTGGGAATAGCAGGTGGATGCTGTGGTCATCTAGAAGTGTGGCTGCTGGTAACAGAGGTTATGTACCATGGACCTCCTGGAATACCTTATTAAAGTGAACTTGAAGTGCAGATGATTTCCAATTTTGTATTTTCTCCTTAGGAAACACTTGTCAATTTTGATTTTAAAGTTAGTTGTATTGATAGAAACTGGCAGGAATACTTTGATTTTCATTGTTATTTACCTAGTCATGCTGCAAAAGAAGTGTAATCTTTTAGGTCAACTTCATGGAAAATATAAATGTAGTTGTATTCTGATGGCCTCTCAGCCCTTTACCCACTGTCTGTTGCCTCCTCACTGTCCCCTTCCCATGCAGTCCCCAAGCCTAGGCCAGGTGAGGACAGGGTGCTGGCACCTAGGCACATTCAGAGCCTTCATGTGGGAGCTGAGGCCTTGTGCAGGGGCAGATGGGTGTGCTCTGGGTGAGGTAGAATGTGCTGTCCGCTCCTGTGAGGTTCACTGGGTACAGGGTGCCATCCCCATCTCCACATGATCCCTCACCTGGGTGTACTGACAGTTTGCAGGAGCTGCCTGGTGAAGTACCTAGAGGAGAACAACACCTGCCCCACCTGCAGGATTGTGATCCACCAGAGCCACCCGCTACAGTACATTGGGTGAGTGCCCCAGTTGGGAGGCTGCTCACGGCCACTCCACACTGCATCAGATGGCAAGCCGGTGAGCACTGGGCCTTTGGGGAATTTCAGTGCTGCACTGAACCAGCTGTGTTAGGTTGGAAGCAGAAGGTGGCCCTGGACCCACCTTTGTGCAGATCAGCGTGGCCTTGTGTGGGGACAGGACACAGAGCCTAGCACGAGTTTCAGGGTAGGAACCGCTCTGAGGAAATGAAATGCCTCCATGCTACTCAAGGGAGAAGTTTGGAGACAGGCTCTGGAGGTAAGCTTCTTACTGTGGAGTTGTACAAGTGGTCACACATGGCCAAGGGGTACATGGACAGTATAGGATCCCCAAGGGCCCCACATACAAGTAAGAGCGGCCAACTCTCAGCAGCCCTTCTGCTTTCAGACAGCACTCCTGGGTCATGCTCCTTACATGGGCATCTCTGGGAGAAGCCCCATCCATGGCCATTGTGCCCTGTGGCATGGGCATCGAAAGGTGTCCAATGACTACTAATTGGTGCCGCCCAGACCCAGGGTGGAACACCCTTAACCCCAGCATCATGCACCTTAGACTCAGCCCCCTTTGAAACTCTCCATCTATGACCACATGAGGCTTTGGGGAGACATCTAGTCATAACCTGTAGCATTATTTGAAGTGTTTGTAAGCAGCTAGCACCTGAATTAAATAATTAATTAGCTTAGGACATAGGTAACTTTTGGCATCAGGCATTTTTATTTCCAAGCTAGGAGGAAAATTCTACCGAAACTAAGTTTGTGATTCAGAAATTTGGGTTAAGTGAGAAATATGTGAGAGTTACAGAATGAACATTCCTCATTGACTCTTAATTATTCCATTGCTTTGCAGTCATGACAGAACCATGCAGGACATTGTTTACAAGTTGGTGCCAGGCCTCCAGGAAGGTAAGTGTCATTACCTCCTCAGCTCTGGATCATACTTGGGGACGTGGTCTCAGAACCGTCCTTTTCTCATGTGACTATGTAGTGCAGACAGAATGTCTTAGATACCTAGTTGCTCCCAGATGCGTTGGCTAGAATTACAGACATGTGCCACCATGCCCAGCACATTCTGCTTCTAAAGACAAGGTATTCTCTTATAGACACAATGAAAGTACCTGTTGGTTTTATTGTGAAGAAGATTTGCTAGGACAAAAAAATTACATTTTTCTTTCTTTCTGGTCCCTCCTTATACTGGCAGGTGACCAAGGAGCATGTCTGACCTGCCACCTGCTGTTACAGGTCACGTGAGCACAAAATGTTTTCTATATGGTTGTAAAAAAAAAAACCCAAAGAATACTATGTGATACGTGAATATTTTATAAAATAAAATTTTACATTACATGAATACAGTAATACCTTGGTTCACGAATGCTGTTTGTGAACAATTCAGTTCATAAACAGAAGCATTTGGCAAAATTTTGCTTTTGTTTGTGAACTTTTCATCGGGTGATAAACACAACTTTGGCCATCTTCCCCAAATGAACACAAACGCAGCCATCTTCCCCATAATTATGGAGTGAATTAAGTTCATGAACCAAGGCACCTCTGTAGTTTCATTGGAACACAGCCATGCTAATTTGCCAACTTCATGTGCCCGCTCTCCGTGCTGTGACAGCAGGTCTTGTCATAGACCACAGACTACTCAGTCAGCACACAATGAACCTCAGCCTGTCCGTCAAGCACTTTGGGTCAACACTCTGCCAAAACTTAATGTTACCAGTCTGTACCCATTGTGTCTAAACAAGGAAAGAGAAGAAAGTGGTCTGCAGGTGTCGGACCTTCTTGCTACTGGAGTTGCTGTCCCCAGACAGACATCACAGCTCACAAGAATTATGGGGAAGATGGCTGCGTCTGGAAAAAAGTGAAAGTTTAAAACAGAATAGTTCATCCTTGTAGAATTCATTACAAAATAAGTGAAATTGAGGCTACAGAGTAAGCTTCTGATTGGCTCAGCTGTTAACCAGACCCAGAAAGGGTTTATTTACTAATAACTAGTTTATTATTTGTTTTTTTATTTTGATTTTTTTTTTTTTTTTTTTTTTTTTTTTTGAGAAAGGTTCTCACTGTTTAGTGCAGGCTGGCCTTGAACTCACTTACATAGCCCAGGCTGCCCTCAAACTAATGGCAATTTTACTACCTCTACCTCCCAAGTGCTGGGATTACAGGCATGCACCACCATGCCTGGCATAGCCAGTCTATTAAAACTTTCTGGGAGAGACATGTCCAGGGAAGGAAATGGGTTTTTTTAGACCATTAGGCTGACGAAAGAATGGCATAGAATGGAGGAGGATGGAAAAGCAGCACTGGCATGAGTACAGAGCAAGGCTATCACTTCTCAGTGCCTGTGTCCCCAAGTCTTTGGCACTGGGCTTGTGTAGAGTCAGTGCTGGGTAGGGTGCTGAGGAATAGCCCCTGAGGGTTTTCCTGGACACCCTAGGGAAGTGTGCGAAGAACTGCCCTAAGGCATGTGGGTAGAAGGAAGGCTGGACAAGGCAGTGAAGCTTATAAAAATGTCAAGCATTTGAGGCTTGCAGTTCCTTTATTAACAAGTATCTTGTGGAGAACACCTTAATCTTGTGCTGACCATGGTGGATTTCATTGTTAGACTGCTGCTGGCCACTCGTATTGCCATGGCTGTCTTCAGAGCTCTGAATTTCTGTCAGAGTCAGAAACTGAATATCCTAACTTCTCTATCACATGAATTTTTGTGACTTAGCAGTAAGCAAGTATGTGTGTATTTCTAGTTTTTTCTGTTCATTTTGAGCTAAGGGTGGAAACTGGCACTTTTGTAAATGAGAAGCAGCACTTTAACCACTATTGTTAAACTGAATGGCTCTGACTTGGCTTTCCTGTACTTGATCATGTTTCTGAGTCAAGTCAGTCTTATAGCATAAGGTGAAATAACACTGCAGAGTGAGGAAAGTCATTTCTACAACTATGCTGCTTGACTCACATAATGTCCAATAGCATGTGTTAGTCAGCTTTCTGTCACTGTGGCAGGGTACCTGAGTTAATCCACTTTAGAGAAACAATTTATTTTGGGTCAGTTTTAAAGGTTTCAGTCCATGGTTGATTGGCCCCATGCCAAGTCAGCCACCATGGAGAGCAAAACTGCTTACCTTGTGACCAGGAAGCAAGAGAGAAAAAGAGAAGAGTCTGGGGTCCCACCATCCCCTTGAGGGTACATCCCCAGTGATCTAAGACCTGCTGACAGCACCATCTTGGGCAACAAGTCTCCGACACGGGCCGAGGAGCACAAATCAGAACCACAACTTCCACAGGACCATCCCAAGCCTTTGGAAGTTAGGGGAAGATGAGATCTGCATCCTCACCTGTGGCAGATCTATTCTAGGTGTAGTTACTGATCCAGAAGTATTCTGGACATTGATACAAGTGCAAAGAAGCTTCCATATTTCAGAATCCATTTAATTTTCCACTGGAGGGGTTTCCACTTGACCTTCAAGGAGAAGTGATTAATCTGCAGTTTAATGATTTGATGGAGAATAAAGAGTAGAATTTCATAGCATCCCACAGGTACGTGCAGTGTGACACATTGCATCAACATTATATTCCTTAGACAGATGTCAGTGCTTCTGTGTGGAAAGAAATTTTCAAAGATGATACATGTAAAAATCTCAGGACAGATGAACTTTGACATGTCTAATCAGTTTCAATAGGAAGCATTAACTTCTAACTCAATTGGGCAAGTGTTGTCCCCCAAAACAGATCCTATATTTCTTATTCCAGAAAACTGTCCTTGATTCTCATTGCTGTATTTTAAACTTCATCAATAGAAAATTATAGATATTCATTTCTGCCCTGTCACCAGACTTCTATGCAAAACTTCAGTTTTGCCTGCGGGCTACAAGGCTAGGTTCTCAGGTCTTTCCCTTTCAGGGAATGTCTGTGGCCCAGGCTGGAATCCCATCATGTGCTGGCTGAGTCACTAACCCTGGGCTTGCTCCTGATTCCTGGAGCTCAGCCTCTTAGCACCACATGATGCTTGTCATAGCCTGTAGACTCCTCCATCAGGCTGGCCCAGTGGGTTGAACAATTTACTGGGAGTGGTGTGTGGTCTCAGATGCCTTGCCTGCATCTGGCTAGATGGTTGTATGGATCTCACAAATGATAGGTAAGTATTACACCACTGAGCTATATTTTTTAAAAACTTTGCTTTGAGGCATCTCAATAAGTTGCCCAGTGTACTCTCAATCTTGTCTCCACCTGCCTCATGCTCCTGTGTAGCTGGGCCTGCATCAGTGCCCTTAGCTTTCAGTTTCTTAGTCTAGGCATTGGTGGCAAACCCATAGCATGTGTGCCACAGCTAACTCTTTGTAATCACTGAACACCCTAAAAGGTTCATCATTACTAGTGTAGGGTGTCACTGGTAGAGCCTCTGCTGGTTCTGTGTTGCAGTCTCTTTACCATAGCATCACATCAAAGAATGTGCCCCTGGACAGCAAGCATACCCCATATTGCTCACTGTCAGTAGCTTCAGGGTTCTGTTGCTGAAATGACCCACACACATGACACCTGTGCTGCTTTTACTTCGCCAGTCCCCTCTGGTGGCAGCAAGTACAGCATGACTGGGAAGGCTGAATGAGGAATCGCTGCTGCAGCAGTTATACCTGGCCAGATGTCTGCTCTCAGACACACATTTCAGTTGATTCTGATTTTTTAGTGTATCTTAGTTATATTTCTCTCACTGAGACAAAATACCTGACACTCAAAGTAGGAAAGGTTTATTTAGCTATGTAGAGGTTTCAGTGCATAATTGGCTGGCTCCCAGGCAGGGTGGCATTGTAGAGGAGAAACAGTGGGGGTCGGGAGGGAGAAGGTAGCAAAACAAGCAAAGGTTGACCACAGCTCTTTCTAGCCCTTGTATTCAGGCAACTTAGGGTGAGGAGCATTCACCATCTTAATCCTAGTGCCCTTGAGCCTAGCATTGTGCATAACTCAATTCATGTCACACACTCTAGATTCAGCCACCTCTGAAAAAGCTCCATCTGTGATCATATGAGGCTTTGGGGCACACCTAGACACAAGCCATGATAAAATGTTACATGTAAGACTTTAGCAAAATTTACCTGGATGTATTTACCTGGATACTTTTGGGATTACTAGCAGAATTTTTGTGTCAAACCTACAGTATTTTAGATGTAACATCAGAAAGGCCCCAGTTTAATATTTCTGCACCTTTATCCCCTGGCCTAAAGAGTGTTATTTTTCTATCTTCATTTTTTTTAATTGATTGGTAAAAGGTAAAGAAATGAGCATTAAACAAGGCATCAGCACGGAGGCTTCTGCCTTCAGTGGTCCCCTTTGAAGCTTCACTGCCAGCCTCCTGCTTCACTGCAGAGCTGCTTGCTGTGTAGTGTGTACCAGAGCACTTTTCCAGCTAACCCCTTTGCTGTCTTGCCAGAGCCTGTGCACAACCTTTCTTCCAGAGGTGTCTCCCTTTCATATCACTCATGGCCTTATACCCTTGTTCCTATATTGCCATTGTGTAGGACTGGCTCTCCCAGGCTCTCTTGAAGATCTGGTCTGTAGGAGAAAACAAATACACAGATAAAAAGTTTATTGAGGTGGCTGGGGATTTAGTTCAGTGGCATAAGTGCCTGCCTTGCAAGCAGGCAGTCGTGAGTTCGATCCCTGGTACCAATAAAAACAAAAAAGACAAAAAAAAAAAAAAAAGTTTATTGAAGCAAGGCTGGGGTTGTAGCTCAGTGGCATACTGCCTGCCTGGCAAATGCAAGGTCATGAGCTCTATCCTAGTACAAAAAAAAAGTTTAATGAAGCAAATGGGAAAAAGGAGAAAAGAAGAAATGTGTGTGTGTGTGTGTGTGTGTGAACTATACTACTGATCTCATCAAAAAGAACAGTAGTTTAGGGCCTAGGGCCGAGGATTTAGCTCAGCAAAATAAGCTCCTGCCTGGCAAGCGCAAGGTCATGAGTTCTATCCCTGATACAAAAAAAAAAAACAGTTTGTTGTGCTTTCATTGTTTGATCATTTTTTTCATGCCTGCATCTTGTAATTTGAACAACTACTTTGAAGATAACAATATATAATATATTAACAATTGTTAATCTATTGTGTTTTGAAATTCTGTACTGTTTTTATTTTTTCGTTTTAAAATTTTTTTTTAAAGTTTAATGAAGCAGGATTGTGTGTGTAGGTGTGTGATCCCAGCTACTTAGAAGGCTGAGGAAGGAGGGTCACAAGTTTGACCTAGACCGCCTAAGCAACTCAAATCTCATCTCAAAATAAAATTTTAAAACACACAAATTTTATAACTCATTGGTAGGATGCCCTTCCTGGGTTCAGTCCACCAGTACCACACACATACACAGAGTTTAATGAAGCATTTCTTAGTCACCTATGCATAAATTATTTTTCACAGAGCAATTTATAGGTCAGTGGGTTGAATAGTTATTTTAATTTTGCCACCTGAGTGTCATGAGTAGTAACCCGTGTCTTGTGCTCTATCACTTGCTTCTAAACGTTAAAGTAGTTTGGTGTGTTGCTGTAATCCCAACATTCAGGGAGGGTTATACAAGATTGCAAGTTCGGGCCTAGCCTGGGCAACTCAGTGACTTGTGAAACCCTGTTTTAATATAAAAAATGGGCTAGGGATATAGCTCAGTGCGAAACCCCTTGGTTCAGTCCACAGTCTAACAATAGTGATGTTTTAAAAGTCAGTAACTGTTTTTGTCTCACATCCTGCTCTGGGGTATGCAGGATGCCATCGTGGTCCTGCTTTCCTGCCCCAGAGAGCACAGTTCATGCTTACACTTGGAAGCCCCTTTGGACTAGCTATCAGGGGCACATGCTGGCCATCTCAAGATAGTATAAGCTGCCCTAAAAGCTTGATAATGTAGATGAAAGGGAAATGGACAGCTTCCACAGGAAATTCTGCCTGTCTACTGCTTCCCTTAGATTGTTATACTGTGACTGCTGGCCATAGACACAAGAGGGCACTGTTAACCCACTGTGGATAGACTTGGATACTATCTTGTCCTCCCGCAGGTAGGTTTTGAGCCCCACCAGCCTACCTTACAGGTACAGGGTTCTGGGATGAGACAGCTGCCCTGGACATCTCTCTAGTAAACTAGTGCTGTGCAACTCAAAACTGTTGCCTGTTATGGCTGCAGTGATGATGGGGGACTGGGTAGCAAGGCTACACTGGGGGGTGCACAAGACACCTGAGGCCTCTGGCAGTCACCTGTTGTCTGTAGTGATGTCTGAGTGTCCATGACATAGGTGGACAAGGAGGTTGCTGTCATGGTCCCAGGAGGGTCCCCAGCAGGTCCAGAACATGTCTGTCCATTGGAGTTTCTCGCATTGAATACCAGCATCACATCTCAGTGTTCCCACAAGCCTGTGATATGGGCGCTTGTTCACCATATCCGACTCAAGTGTTTTTTTTTTTGTTGTTGTTGTTTGTTTTTTACCAGGGATTGAACTCACAAGCTCAAGCTTGCTAGGCCAGCACTTATGCTGTTGAGCAAAATCCCAGCCTGACTCAAGTGTTTACATTGCACTTCTTTCCATACTAGTAGCAGTCTCCAAACTCCATAATCCGAACCTACAGCCCTCTTTGTGTGATGTTTGTGTACAGAACTTTACTACAATTCCTTGTCTGCTTAAAATTAAACACTGATTTTTTTTTAAGTATATGTTTTCAGTACACAGTAATTACATTCATCATAGGGAGTTGATACATATATATAACATGTTGTCTGTTAATTTTTAATAGCGGAGATGAGGAAACAGAGGGAGTTCTATCACAAGTTGGGCATGGAGGTGCCAGGCGACATTAAGGGGGAGGCATGCTCTGCAAAACAGCACCTGGATCCCCGGAATGGTGAGTGGCCCACAGTGCTGCATAAGTTATGGTAGCTGGCTTATCAGGCCTCTCATGGGCTCACACTGTCTCCAGGTGAGCCCATGGTGGTTTCACCAGAAAATCACAGACCCATGGTTCAGGAGGGTGGCCACACGTAGGAGTTTTGATATGGAGAGCAAGAAGACCCAGGAAGGGCCTGGAGGTCAGGTGGAGGGCGGAGGGCAGGGAGCATAGTGCCTATGAAGAAGTAGTGGAAGGTGGACTGATAAGGTTTTAACTCTGCTTACTTTATTATAAAATGGAAAAATAATGATTTGGTTTTGTCATAAAGTTAATGATACTTTAAGATCTCTAAATATTATATTCAAATCTTTGAGATCTGTTGTTTTTTCTGGTGGAAAGAAATTTAGACCATATCAGATCTGGCATATGCCTTGTAAACTCATCACTCATAAAGCTGAGGCAAGAGGATCACAAGTTTGAGCACCACCTGGACAATTTAACAAGACTTTGTCACAACATTTAAATTAAGAAATAAATTTAAATAAAGAAATAAATAGGGCTGGGTGTAAAGGCCCTGGGATCAATCCCAGAACCAAAGGGGTTGGGGTGGGGGAGAGAAATCTTTTTAGGAATGTAGCTCAGTGTTAGATTGATTGTCTGGCAAGGCCCTGGGTTCATTCCTCCGGTACAGAAAGAAGGAAAGAAAGAAAGAGGAGAAGAGTAGAGGGCAGCAGAAGAGAGGGGAGAACCTTTAGACTTCCTTGATTGTTTGAGATGAGAGAGCACCCTGGCCACTACCACTGGAAGAGTCAGCTGCCAGGTGTTGAGAAAAGCCAGGCCAGGCTGCAGAGGTCAGTGGGGAATGTCTGGGAGTTGGGAGAAGCTGGTCTTGACTACTACAGTGTAGCAAGACTGCAGGAGTGAGATGTCCCTGGGACGGGCTGCTGTGATGAGCTCTGCATGGCTCTGGGAGCTGTCTGCTTCTCTCACCAGTGCCAGTACTTTAGTGTTCCCCAGACATCTATGGACAAGCCCACCAAGCCCAGCTAGCCTCAGGGAGGCCTGCTCTGTGGAGGAAAGTAGTGTTCTGAGCCACTTGTGGCGTGGCTCTAACACGTAGCAGGCTTCTCATGTCCACTATTGGGAGAGTGGATATCAACGCATTTAGAGTGTGTCCTAGTTTTAAAATAGTGTAACATTTTAGGCTACATAATACAGGCTGAGTATCCCTATCTAAAATATCTGGAGACAGTCTAGACATGAATGCATTTGTATTATATAAGTTTTACACTCCCTTAAGGTACATTTACACAATATTGTTAGTGTACCTGTGTTGGGCTACAACCTGTCACATAGAGTCAGGTGTGGAAGTTTCTCCTTATAACTCAAAATGTTTTAGATTTTGGAGCACTTAGGATTTTGGCTTAGGGGTGCTCAGCCTATACCCTGTTTTCTGTTTATTATGCTAAAAGGTGAAACCAAAGCAGATGACAGTTCAAGCAAAGAGACAGCAGAAGAAAGACAGGAAGAAGACAATGACTACCACAGGAGTGACGAGCAGGTGGGTACTCTGCATGCAGTTTTCATCACTGTTTGGCTGCAGTGTTTCAGGAAACCCAAGATAAAATGCCCCAGAGCTTTCTCCCTCAAAACCTTACTTTATCTTTCTTTAAGTTACCAAAGTGCTAAGCATGGACTAAAACGCTTCAAACATAAAAAGTGTCAGGCCAACTCAGGTTCATATTCTTCAGCCTAGCTACAGGTTTTCACCATTCAAAACATTGTCCCTTGTCTGTCGGGAGCTTTCCTGGGCCTGTACAAACTGCAGGAGAGCAGTGGACCCCAGCAGCACAGTGAAAGGAAGTAAGCACATAACACTTTGTTCATGCCCATGTATCACATTACTCAGTGAAAAAGGAAACAAGAGCAGCACAGAGGCGCTGTGGAAGGGTCTCATGAAATTCTGTACTCCTGTCTATAGAACGCCCTAGAGCAGTTCATACTTCATAATGAAACAGAATCATTGCCTCATTAAAATTAGGAATAAGCAAATGCCAGGCAGCTATGAGTTTGAGAGCCTTAGCCCATATCATGTAGAAACAAAAACGAGACAGACATGAGAGCAAAAGTTGCTATTATTCTCAGGTAATACTATCTTACATAAGTCCTGATAATGAGCTGAAAAATAGTTGAACCTCATTTGGCTCTGTAGGTGATGACATCAGCATGTAGGGTTTGGGAGGTGTGAGGAATGGATAGGGAATTGTTAAGGGTTTGCTGAATGACCCAGGGTAAAAGGCTGGTATGAGATGCTGATTCCCTTGAGCTGGCCTCATGGTGGGTCTAGCAGATGGCTAGAAATAATCTCACAGGAAGGTGGATATAAAGAGCAGTTGCTACATCTCTGCAGAAAACAGAGCTGGTCTTGATCATATCAGAAGAAGTAGTAACCATAGCATGGTTTGGGGTCAGAATAGTCAAATCTTTGTTTTTAGTTTATCTACTTCTGCACTACCAATGACAGCCAAAGAAATAGGGACAAGTCTGTGTATGTACGGGACCTGATGATAGGGTCTTGCTTGCTGGTGAGAGGGTAGGGTGACTGACCTACAGGCAGCGAGAGCAGAGATCACCTTCTCTAACTGCATGATAATAGATAACAGAAGCATTATCTGTGGGTAGCTTGGTGGACCCTCAAATTTGAGTCAAGTGGATCCTGTCTTGCTGGCCTCAGTGGAGAGGTGGTGTTCTCATCTGTGCCCCAGCTCTAGGAGCAACCTGAGACCTTGCAGTCTTGCCACAGGCCCATCTTCATTTCTGGGTATGATTTTCTATGGATGTATATAGAACTGTACACATATTCTCCTCTACTTAATCTTTGTTTTTGCAGTTTAAAATTCTTTCACTGCTGTTAATAATTTTGGTCTTTTTTTTAACCCCAGCATTTCAAAAGTTTCTTTTCTTTGTGTGTATGTGTGAGAGAGAGAGAGAGAGAGAGAGAGAGAGAGAGAGGAGACAAGGTCTCACTATGCTGTTCAGGCTGACCTTGAGCTCACTTTGTAGCCCAGGCTGGTCTGAAACTCACAGCAATCTTCCTGCCTCAAACCCACCACTCCCTCAGTGCTGGGATTAGAGGCTTGCACCACCACGCCCAGCCTAAAGTTGCTGTCTTTTGTTAGTTGTTTTCACTTCAAGTACTTGATTTCTTAAAGCATATGTGAAGGTTTTTTGGGCTTTATGAAGCTAACCACTTTCCTTGTGTGTACACTATCTCTTCACACTTTCCAGGCTGTGTGCTTTTCCCAGTGTCCCTAGTCACATCCCTCTTGACTTTGGTCCCAATGCTGATGATTGGTGTACTGTGGCCTTCGTTTCTGTGAGGCTCCAGTGCCATCACCTTACCTTTTTGAACTAGGAATCTTAAGTGAGCACCCTGCACTGGCTGCCAGTTCTCTGCTCTTTTCTTGTCCTCCTCTGATGACAGACATTATATGTTGACCTTTGCTTAGGGGCTGAACTCTCTTGTGTCCACTGGTATAGGTGGACTGGGGTCCAGCTGTTCTTCCTGCTTCTGGTTTTATTGTCCATGTGGTAGCTAAGCACATGGACCCTGGAAGTCCATCTGCTTGCTTTCTGGTTCTTTCAATAACTGGCACATGGCCTTCACAAATTACAACTGCTCCTCAGTTTCCCCACCTGTGAAGGGAGGACGATGGTAGTGATGTCTGTCCTAGTTTCTGTGAACACTGATTGGCTTCACAGTTACAACATGTGGAGCTATTAGGCTGACGATGACAAAGCACAGAGCAGGCCAGGGAGGTGCTGCCAGGCGTCTGCACCTGTCCGTGTGTTGAGTCCCTCAGTATTGTCATTACTGTTCGGTCTGTTGCTCTCTGTCATTCTCAGTTACATTTCGTTTACTCAGTTGTTGGGGTACCCGGCCTCATGACTCACATCCCATCCCTTCCCAGTGATCCCTTCGCATCACTGCAACGGTCTTCTCTTTCTCTGAAGTTTCTGAACTTTGAGTCCTGTCATATCTGACACAAACATTACACCTGCTGCTTTGGTTGCTGCCTCTGTTCTGACCTTTTCTGTGTTGTGGTGATCTACATATGGGTTGTACGAAGTTCTATTATTGTTGCTTCTAAACCCATCTCAAGGTCGGTCTCTCTCTCTCTCTGTCTCTTTCTCTCTCTCTGTCTCTGTCTTTTTTTAGTAGAGGAGTTGAGCACACTCATGTCTGTGGTAACTGCTGTCTAACTCCTGGGTGTGAGGCATCTTGTTTGTATTTTCTTTTCTTTCCTATTGACTCCTAGATTGGGTTTTGGTTTTCTTTTCTCTTTTTCTCCTCCAGTAGTTTGAGAATGTTAAATGTTTTTTTCTTCTTGTGACTGCTCTTAAGTTTTTAGACATGCTTCAACTTACATATTTGTCATTTAAAGATTTATTCCAGATCATTTTTGATAATTTGTAGTTTTATTTCCATTAATTTTATTCAAGGAATTATTACTTAATTTTATTCAAGTTTTGACACGATACTACCAATTGTTTAGATTTAATAAGAAGTTTTTAATTTTTGTATATTTTGGTTTTTTGAGACAGGATCTTGCTATGTAGCTCAGGCTGACCTTGAAATCACAGACTTCCTGCCTCAGCTTGAGTGCTAGGATTATAGACATGTGCTACCAACCCCAGCTAAAAGAAGTTTTATAGTTTTAGGGGCTTTTGTTTTATTTTTTCTTTTGTATACTGTTGAGTATGTCCTTTATCTTCCTCTTCAGTGGGTCTGTTTTGTACTCTTGCATCACTCGAGAGCAGTGCACGATTGGTCAACATTCTTAGTACTTGTGTGACAGTATGGTCTTTACTGTTCCCTTCATGTTTGAGTAATTTGGGCAGATACAGAATTCTAAATTTGAAATAATTTTTCCTTGTAAACTTTCTAAATCATTCAGATGAACTGACTAGATTATGTACTTTTAACACTAAACATGAGAAGCAGAAAATGGAAAGCCAGTCGTAGAAGTGCAAGCCGCCCCACCTACATCTGTTGCTAACCTGGCACCTTGGTCTGGGTTCTCTGCTAGGTGGGTGGGCAGCCACTGGCACCATGCAGAGGGTCCTGCCCACTCTGCTGAACAGATTGGGTGTCCACAGCCACCACATGGTGATTCCTGACCACACTGGACTGTAGCTGGGCTCCTCCTGTGCAGTTGGTTCATCGGGAAATTAGGAGGCTCTTGCTCACTGTGCCTCTACATATACAGGCTCTTTTTCCCATCTGAAGAGGTGTGGCCACACCTGACTCCACAGTTTAGCCACTGACCCCTAGTTGCTTGTGAGCTGAGGAACAAGCTATGGGTCAATCTTGTTCCATTTTGAGGGAAACCAGTTTTGTGAACTGCTGAGCAATACAAATCAGGTTTACTGACTCATAATATCTTCCAAACCAGGAAGGCCTCTGTTCTTTGTCTTCTGGACAGAAGTGACAGTGACATAGCTTCCATAGAAATTCCCCATATAGACCAATTCCTATGCTTTACAGGTAAATTGTGTCCTCTGTGCTGTTCTACCTGGGACCTTAGTCCCCTGTGCTGCTCAACCCCCAGCTCCACCCTTGCTTCCTGCATCTAATTCTTTCCCTTATAGTCCCTCTCCTTTACCTTTGTTCATTCGAAAGGTCATTTGGGCTTTCTGTCTTTTTGTTCCTCACATCTCTTCCATTTTTGTTTTTTTGTGTGTGTTGAGGGGGGTACCAGAAATGGAACTCAGGACCTTAGGCTTGCCAGGAGCAGCTATACCACTAGCTAAATCCCTAGCCCCTCTCCCACTTTTATCAGGCTTGTCAACCTCAGGTCTCTAGCATCCTCTAGCCTAGTCCTTCTCGCACCCAGATTTGAGAATTCAGTTTATTCTCACTCTGAATTCTGCTTGAATATGTCTGCCAAGAGTTGCCTTCGTGTGTGAAAGTATGCTCAACAGTTTCAAAGAAAAGAGACATTATGTTAGCTACTGTTGATGTCCAGTTGTTTTGTTGTAAAGTGCTGTGTTGCTTGCATTTTCCTGTTCTGATTTGCTTTGTTTCATTCTGTTTTCTTTTGCTCTCTTTAAAATAAAATTAAAAAAAAAAAAAAGAGTTGCCTTCCCAGAGTGGCCTCTGCCATCCATATAGTGTCACCTTATTATGTGTTTACTCACTAGGCTCTGCCACACCAGTGTGAATTGTACTAGGCAGTGACTGGGGAGATGGCATTCTACTTTCAGGGACCTTGCAGCTGGTAGAGAGGCAGGGTCAGATGCTTTGTGGCAGGAAAGAGGCTGTCGGGGGGCATTATGTGGGCAAAGAAGAACAGGGCAAAAGCAGGTAGAGCAGGTGTCCCAGGGCTGCCAGAGTAGGAGAGGACAGGGAAACCTGAGCAGGGCAGGCAGTAAGGTGAGGAGGCCCTGTGGCAGGTGAACCCTTGTTAACCTGTAAAAGGAAATGCAGCATGGGGATAACGAGTCTCAGCACTTACTGCGGAGTGCTGCATGCCTTGGCTCTACATGAGTGGTTATGGGCCCACCATGGCCTTGAGCCTAGGCAGGTATTTGGCAGTTTTGAGCAAGTACAGAAACACTGAATTTGCTATGTTTTTGCAAGCTACCTGTGGAACTTGCTGGTGCATTGGCAATACGCCAAGGCACAGGCTTTGCTTGGCTCCTACTAAGTATGCTGGAGCTTGTTGCATTCAGTATGTAGCAACAAACTACAGTTCACTGCATTCACAGTGGGGCTTCCGAAGTTCAGCCCAGTGTGGCCATAACAGTGGACTCCATCTTTTTCAGTGTTCGCCCAGGTTCCAGTGGTGCTGAACATCTCTTCAGTGTTGCTTCATTCCTTCACTTAAAAACTCCCTGTATGTGTTCTTTGTCCATTTTTGCATTGTGCAATTCTTTTCTCATTGTGTAGGGATGGCCTGCCCTGTTACTGTGTTTGCAGGCTTCTCTATCCAGTGCTCGTGGCCCATTGTTACAGTTTTAAAATTGGGCATTATTAAATTTGTCAGTATTTTCTACCTCAAATGCTTCCCTACCCCCAGGTCATAAATAGGTTCACCTACCTTGTTTTGTAAGATAAAGTTTTGCATTCGTAAGTTTAAAGTTTTGCTTTTCACAGTCAGGGTATAACCCACTGAGCTCGTTTGTGTGGGAGGAGGGCCAGTTGCTGTCTTGCTGAAGGTGGGCCAAATGAGTTGAGCTAACCGCAAGTCTCTACAGGCCTGTTCTGGTCCACAGATCTGCTGCCTCCCGATGTGCTCAAACCACACATACCTCACTCAGTTGCAGTTACTTATTTTACCAGAGTTGCGATTTTTGGTTAAGCAAGTATCCTTTTATTTTTCTAATTTAGTGTTCTAATGACCAGGAGGTTGATACAGGAGAATTGCTTGAGCCCAGGAGTTCTAGAACAGCCTGGGAAATGCAGACCCTCAGCTCAGTAGAACAAACAACAAAAAGAACTGTCTTAATAACTGTAGCACTTTGGTGTTCTACCTAAAAATTAGAAACTAGTCACTGCTGAGTTGACTAGACAATTCCAGTGGAAGTTCTGTAAATATGTTTAGAGAAGAGATGGGGCCTTTGGTAGAGCCCCCACCCACCATCAGCTAACTTTCTCACCTGCATCACCTATCAATGGGGCATGGCGCAGCCTCAGACTGCATCGTGAAAGTCTCACTGTGGGTCCATATCCCTGTGCACACGTGCTTCGCTGCAGGCTAGCTGGCAGGCACGCACACTGGCTACTTGCTCAAGTTCTAGCTTCCTTCAGCTTCCCGCGAGGACCAGTTCCTGAGGTGTGGGGAACTCAGGCTAGCTGTTGCCTTCCCAGAGTGGCCTCTTTAGTTTGGAAATTCTCATGGGAATTTGCAGTAGCTATTGTCCTTTTGGTTGGAAGCCTGGTGGATCTGAGACCTACACTTTGAGGTTAGCCCGAGCCTGGCAAGGTAGCTCAGTTCAGTGTCCCCCGATGGCCACTACACCTAGACTGTTGCACTCAGGACATGTAGGGCAGGACCTGTGCACGTCTGGCCCCACGTACAAGGTTTGGGGTTAGGGTTTGTACCTTCCATCCCTACTGGTTTTTTTCATTTGTCTTTTTTCTTAAAACCTGCTTTATCTAATTAATCTAGGTAGTCCAACTTTCTTTAGGTTAAAATTTTGCTTTGTGTTTTGGTTTCTTAAATTTTTTTAACTAACCAAACAAGAAGTTCTTAGCTGGCAACTTATTTTATATTTTCTGTGTTCACAGTTAAATTTGAGTTTATTTCTGCTTTATCTTACACTTTCTTTTATACATATTTTTCTCTGTGTCCCTCTTTCACACATACAGTGCTTTTGGTGTCAGGAAATTAATAAAGCGCGCGCGCGTGTGTGTGTGTGTGTGTGTGTGTGTGTGTGTGTGTGCGTTTGTGTTTGAGATAAGGTCTCACTGTGCAATTCAGGCTGACCTTGAGCTCACTTTGTAACCCAGGCTGGTCTCGAACTCACAATAATCTTCCTACCTCAGCCTCAGAGTGCTGGGATTACAGGCACGTGCCACCATGTCCAGCTAGTAAATTTTATTTAACTTCTTTTTTTTTACCCTGCTTCTGTTGTTGGTTACAAAGTGCTTAAATAAACACATCTGAAAAACTCCAAGTGTAATTGAGTCTGCAGGTACCCTATATCCTAGCTGTGCCAGGGTCCAACTTTGCATGGCAGTCTTACTTCTTACATCAGCATCTATCTTCTTAGACTGTGTCTTTTTGTAGTTGCTTGTAGACAGCTTTATTTTTTTACTACTTGTGACCATTATTTAGTTTTTTTGTCTAGGTCGTGGGACCTCTGCTGTCTGGGCACTGCCTGCCCTACTGTGAACTGCCCTTCAGGGAACCTTTAAATTGAGTGTATATTTCTCTTTATCTAAATTTGCTTCCTAAATCTGAGGATTAGAAATCTAAGGGTTTGTATTTTTCCTTGTTTTGGGGAACTCCTTAATCATTCTCCCCTAAAATTTATCTTTCCCTTATTTTCTGTTCATTCTCTGGGAGCTTTTGAGTTTGTTGGACTTGTCAATCTGTATTCCTTTCTCTGAGCTTTCCTTTGTTCTGTTATCTTAATTGGTATTTTTGTCTGTATGCTACTTTTTTGGGGGGGGTTGGGGGGGCTGGGTAACCAGGGATTAAACCCAGAGCCTTCACACTGAACAACTTCACCAGCCATTTTTTAATTTATTGTTTATTTTGAACGAGGGTCATGCTAAGTCACAGAGTTGTCAAGGCCAGGCTTAAACTCGTGATCCTTTTGTCTCAGCATCCCCCAAATGCTGGGATTTATAAGCATGTACCACCATATTCCATTGTTTCTATATTTCTTTTTCTTTTTTTTTTTTTTATTTTAAAGGGAATAAAAACAATAAAACGAATCAAAAATAGTGTGGGTAATTTCTTCAAATGAACCTTCAGGAATTTCATCTGTCTATGGCCAAGACTAGTGAAACCATCCAGTGGGTCTTTAGTTTTAGTAAATGCTTGTTATATTTGGTTGTCTCCTATGCTTGCTTGTTCTTACATTTTAAAGTCTTCTTTTTGTATCTCTAACAACTGTAGACACACATTTCTGTTAATTCCCTTATTGATACTTTCATTGAGTTTTCAGACCCTGTGTGTGCTGCCATACAGTCGTCTGGGTAGGTGGACTTCTTCAGCAGGTCTGAAATAGGCTTTTCCCCCAAAGCAGGTTGCCTTTTCATTGCCAGGCGTCCCCGGCTTTTAAGATCCTAGGCTCACTTTTAGCTGACCTGACTGTGAATCAAGGTATACAAAACTCTGATCCAGCTGAGCTGTTGTTCATCTGGAACAGAACCCACTATGCACTGCCACAACTTGACATTGCTCGTGGCTTCTTCTCTGCTAAGGATTCACTTGTCTCCATGCAGCTCTAAGAAAGCAGCAAAGGCTATGCCTATATCTGCATTACTTATAAACCTGTTCACCTCATGCCACCTCTGCCATCTTCCTACAAGGGGTAGCCACTCAAGCAGAACACAAGATCTCAGTGCCCATGGTGAACATGAAGCTCTCAGAATTACTATGTATGAGGAAGCCATTGTTGAGGGTGTATTGCTCAGAGGGCAGGCAGACACTAAACAGGTTTTAAGAGACTTTGTACAAGATCCTTGAAATACAATTCTTTCTGCAGTCTGAATAAAGCAGATGTCTGATTTCAAAGAGGCCAGCCTTCTACAGTTGGGGTCAGTGGGTACAGATGCAGGGGGACCCACTATGATGCTGCCTTCTCCTCTAGGTGAGCATCTGCCTGGAGTGCAACAGCAGCAAACTTCGGGGCCTGAAACGGAAGTGGATTCGCTGCTCAGCCCAGGCCACTGTGTTGCACCTGAAGAAGTTCATCGCCAAGAAGCTCAACCTTTCCTCTTTCAATGAGGTAATCTGTGTACTGTGGACATAGACAATCAAGGGTGTTCATTTGTGAAAGGAGAGCATTCTAAATATTTAAGATGTATATGTATAACAATTTTGGAGATTTTGATTTGATTTTTGAGGTAGGAATTCACTAAGTTGCCAAGGCTGGGCTCAAACCTGCAATCCTACCACAGCCTCCCAGAGTGCTGGGATTATAAGCATGCACCTCCACACTTGCCTTGTATTTTTTTTTTTAATTATATCCTTTATGCCTTGTATCTTTGAAAAAAAAAAATTTTTTTTTTAAAAGCAAGATGGGGGCCATGGGTTTAGCTCAGCAGTGTAAGTGCCTATCTGGCAAGCGCTAGGTTGTGGGTTCGATCCCCAGTACAAAAAAAACTTTAAAAAGCAAAATAGAAAAAAGGTTAGAAATGATACAGAATTTCAAAAAGTAGAAAGTTAGGAAACACTACTTAATGTATTGCATATTGTTATCTTAGAAGCAGTTGTTCAGGATCTTTGAAACTTTTAATCAGGAAAAAGCCCCTTTATTTCTTTTCCCGCCCTTCATGGTAATATGGGAAACAACAATAAAGATTTAAAACCCAGGAGAATTGATTACTTTAGGACTGGTTGAAGGTTTTCATCATGAGGGGGGTTCTATTTTTTAGTTCCATGATTGACTGGGTGGGTAGATATGATAGTTTACAGTTTTGATCATTTACCGAGACTAAAATAGACCTGGAGTGCTGTGGCTAGTGGCAGAGAGTTGTGAACAAGCATGGGACCCCAGCACCCTTGGTAATGCCACTTGTGTGAGGGTACAAACTACCAGCAGGGGTTGGCTCAGTGGGAACCCCAGGTAGGATACATGGTTTGAAGTTAAGCTTTTAAAACCCTCTCAGACTGTGTGGAAAATGGACATGGAAGCCAGAGAGGGCAAGGAGAGAGCCAGGTGTTCCCCATGTTCTAGACAAACTTGCAGATGGATGCGCCTTTGGAGAAGGGGCATATGTATGTGTAATGAAATTAAGAATCTTAAGAAAAAATAATTCCGAATTTTCTACTGAACCCTAAATCTGATGACAGTCTATTATAAACATGAGGCTGAAGATTGGAGATGCACGACGGCAGCCACATTCCAAAAGCCAGGAGCACAGAAGGAGTCCTCTCTCTATATCTAAATGTGTCCCCCAGATGCCCCATGTCAGAGACTTTGCCACAGTGCAGTGTGCTAGGAGGTAGGGCCTCGGGGAGATGGACCAGTGAGATCCTGAGCCCTCAGGAAAGAGGTCCTGAGCCATGTAGAAGGTTTGAGTACAGGCTTCATTTTCTACTCTTCCAGCTTGTGGCCTCCCCAAATACTAGTGCCATGACCTGGATGTCAGTCCCCAGCTCTGTGAGAAATGAACTCTGCTCTTCGTCAGTGCCTCAGCCTTTGCTGCTCTGTTACAACTAATAGACTGAGGTACCCAGGAGCCCTTGGAGCACAGCCCTGCCACACCTACTTCAGAATTCTAGGCTTTGGTACTATGATCAGGGCTAGGGCCTAGGGTTCAGTGAAGCCATCAAGGGGCCAGGGCCAGCCACCTGGAGCCCACTGGAAAAACCAAATCCAGATGCAGGAAGAAAAGAGAGAAAGAAATGAAGTGTCCTTTTACTAAGTTTCTGTTGTTCTATTTTCTCTATGGAGACACAGACACAGGCAGGTAGCTAGGCCTGTGTGATAGATTAACTAATTGTCTACTTGTAACACCAGCTGAACTAAATCAGCATGGTACTGGGTGTGGAGGACCTACCTGAGGATTGTTGCCAACAGCATAACAGGAACTAGAGGGGAAGATGGTATGCTGTTGATTCTCCTGGAGAAGCTTGTCACATTGGCTTTCCTGATAGGAACTCAGCTGTTAATGTCAGAGGAGCTTGGGTCCTTGCTGAAGCTGATGATGGCTGCAGGTCTCTTTAGGGGAGCTCTGGTCCTTACCTTGAGCTTCGCTTCCTAGCAGCCAAGCAGATTCCTCAGCTTGGTGGCACAGATCTTTTATCCTGCTGGCTTTCTAGCTCCCATCACTGCTCTTTGGGCTTTCCCAGTGGGGATACTTGATACAGACTTGTATGAGACATTATTGTGGGCTCTTGGCCTCCAGCTGGACTCATGGAGGTCATTGTCATGGACTCTAGGTCTTCAGATGGACATTGCAGTGGGATCCAGGCACTCAGTTAGATTCTTTTTTTTTTTAAAGCCAGTCAAATTTAGCAGTGGGGGGGGGTGGTATATCAACTTAGTGACACTAATGTTAGTAAGTTCTGATAACCCACTGCCATCGGACCAGCCTCAGTTAGATTCTTTAGGTCTCTGGTGTGTGGACAGATCTCCTGTATTCCTTGCATTTGACTCTTTGGTGAATATTATAAAATAATCCTATAAATTATGTGTCCTGTATTAAATATTTTCTCTCGTAAACTCTTGACTACAATGAGCTCCTGTGGAGATAGAGGTGCTAAGCTTGTTGGAAGGGAGGAGGCACCAGAAGAGGCTGAATTCCAGGCACAGGGCTATGTCATCCTCAGGAGCCAGGCAGAGAGCATGAGATATGTCTCCTGCAGATGGTAGGTAGTCAGTCTTTAGGATGTCACAGTGGTCTCACAGGATGCAGTGGGAAGGGCACCATCTCCACAGATACGAGCTAGATAGTGACCTGAGCACTGAGGACAAGCATCACTGGGACCCACCATCAGGAAGGACACCACAGCTTGCCAGGGGCAGCAACCACCTGTGGTGCTCATCCCAGTGTGTGGTGAAGCAGAGCTGCACCCACTAGGAGGTAACTGAATGGCCACACAGATACCCAGAGGCAACTATTGCCCTCTACTGAGAGAAGAACTCAGGAGACCATCTGGGTCACCACCTGTACACTCAGGCAAACCCTAATGAAGTCAACAGTGAGATAGTACTGATACTAGCTAGACTACCAGGCTTGGGCATTGGCACTGGTGAGGTGAAGCCAGCATGGGGCACTATTTGGAGATGGAATTGGCATGTGCTCTGGACACCTACTGGGCAGCTTCTTAGATGAAACAGGCTACACATCAGCATCAGTTCCCTGTCTGAACAAAGGAGAGCTGGGATGTGGAAATGGATGGTGGGATTGGCCAGCAGGGTGAGTGGGGATGGTCATGTTGCTCCATTTAATATGAACCTAAAAGTGCTCTAAAAATAGTCTGTTACAAAAACCTGGGGTGATTATTTCCCTCCCCTGCTACAGTGAGAGGACAAGAGCCAGCAGGGGACATGTAGGGCACAGGGTGCCCTTAGTGAGACAGCTTGGTGGCATAGCTCTGTGGGATGGATGGTGGGTGAGTAACTCTACCTCCCACCTGCGCCCCCCGGCACCATGGTGCCACCAAGTGGCCTTTCCTTAGTGTATGGAGGTAGGCATAGGGATGGCTCTTGGCTCAGGCAGAGGTACAGTGAAGGGCCCCTGCAGAAGTGGACAGCCTCCTTAGAGACAGTAAGCCAGTCAGGGACCTGGGCTTTTGCAGTTTTGGGGCAAAGGGGCAGGGCTGAGTATGCATGTCTCACCACATGTGTGAAGCAGTCAGGCCAGGTCACATCCTTGTGTCCTCATTGTGGGAGAGGTGACCCTTGCAGGGACACTTCTGACAGATAGCATATGTCTGCATCCATTAACAATGAGATGAGTAAACAAACATCCAGACTCCTCCCGTTAAGAGTACCCGGGGAGGGGCACATTTCAAAGACTCACACACTTTATTCCTCACATTGCCCTAGTTTTGTTTGTTTGTTTTGTTCTGTTATATTTGAGAAGTGTCTCACTATGCAGCTCAGGCTAGCTGGTTGAGCTCACTTTGTAGCCTAGTCCAGACTCGAACTCTCAATGATCCTCCTGCCTCAGCCTCCCAAGTACTGGGGGGACGGGGTGCCACCACACCCAGAACATATACTGCCCTAATTGGCACTGGTCTCTCTGTAGGTCCACCATGTGCCTAACCATAGTTCCTTTCCCCTAGCTGGACATCTTATGCAATGAGGAAATCCTGGGCAAGGACCACACCCTCAAGTTTGTGGTGGTCACACGGTGGAGATTCAAGGTAAGGTGCTTATTTGGCTTTTTTTTGCTTGGTTTCCAGACTGATGGGATGCAGTCTGCGTGTTTTGCCACAGGGTTTGCTGTGAAACACTTGTCTTTCTGAAATCATCCACTTAGGCCAGGCTCCCTGGGCCTGGGGTCCTCACTCACTCCTCTCTGGTGATATCAAGGGCCAGGGGCAGTGACCACTCTAGTCAGAGCAAACGCCTGAGGCTTTGGGTGCCTTTCTGAGGCAGAAAGCCTATGGTGTAGTCCTTGTCTGGAGGCTGCTCTTTCAGCCAAGTTGCTACCTAGGGCAATAGGATATTAGATGGCCAAACTGGGCCAGGATGACCAAGGCCCAGGACTGACCCAGGGCCCAGGTTGATGGCAAGGGGGGTGGGCTGGGATGAGCAAGGCCAGGGTTCAGAGCAGAGCTGGTACTGGGTGGTGGGAGGAACAGAGGTGGAGTTAGTGGCACATAGTCTGGCGTGGGACTGGAGCGCTGCATTGGCCCCTGGTCCTAGACAACACAGGGCTTCTGCAGCTGCACGTCACCCAAGAACAGGTGTGTTCATGCGCTGTTCTGAGCACATGTATGTGGGCTCAGTATCTACCTACTGCCCCCTGAGGCCATGTGTCCTTGTCTTGCAGAAGGCCCCCCTCCTGCTGCACTACAGACCCAAGATGGACTTGCTGTGAGCCTGCGTTGCAGACTCCGGCCTGCACCCTGCTGCACTTGGCTGTCCACAGTGACTGCACCGTAAAAATGTTGCCTCTGGGTGCGTGCAGACCAGATTTCTGAATAGAGAATATTTATAACTTTTGTATAAAAGAATCCACACCCAACAAGACACTACCAGCACGCGTTTACAGAGGATGAAAACACTTCGCAGTTTTATGGAGCCAAATGTGCCCGTCTCTGGCTCCAGCCCACAGGTAGAGGAATGAGCGCCTGCAGCAGGCGTCCACGCCACCTTCTGGCATGGATAGCCTTTGCTTGCTTTCCAGGTCTTGAGAATCAAGAGTTCATTTCAGTTTAGTTCCTGGATTGGGTTTCATGATAAGCCTCAAAAATACTACTTTTATTGAGTCCTTCCTAAGTTATTGAAACATGTTTTCACAGTGAATGATATTTATGTTGCTATTAGCTTCCTGAAGACTTAGAAGATATGTAAAAATTTAATTTAAAAGCGTACCCAAAGAGGCTTGCATAGTACCATGACCCAGCCACAGTGTTTGAGTTCCCACTTGCATGGCACCACCCAGCCCCAGTCTGGCCTTTGTTGTCCCAGGGTTCCCATCACAATTCAGGCACACTCAGCAGGGTAGACCAGAAGTGTTTTTGCCAGGTAAGCACTGACCGGCAAGACAGTTCTTGTTTTTTAAAATGCTTTTATTAAAATTGGCACAAATTGTTTGGTGCCATTATTTAATTTCCTACGTTTTCTTTCCCATTTTTGTGGTGGTGAGAACGATGGTGGTGTTTGTTTTGGTGCTTATCAGATGGAGGTGTAGCCTGTAGGGAGACCGCCTCCCGACTTGGGGGGACCAAAGTCTCTAGGTTCCTTCCCACGAGGAGAGATGGCTTGTGCTTTGTGGCCCTGCTTCACAGAAGGCAGCTTTTGAGCTAGGCAGCTGGGACCAGTTCCACCCAGCCCAAGTTGCTTTTTTGGTTACAGGCAAGATCTTCCCCTCCCAAATGTGAGATGTTTTTGTCAAAGGAGAAAATAAGCTCCGCCAGCGCAGAGACATTGTTCCCTCAAACCTGAGAGTGGGCCTGCAAGAGCTGGGGCTGCTTTTCACAGCAGCTGCCATGCTGCCTGGAGGCTGTGGTCTGGTTGAGCCTTGGGCCCACCCTGACCTTCCCTCTTTGGCCCTTGCTAATGAGCAAGACCAAAGCTGATCATTGGTCTGGGTTGCCCCCTCTGGCCCTTCCTGGGTAGAAGAGGATCTCCATATGTTTGAGGGCCAGGTTTTTTGTGTGTTTCCCTTAGTGACTGGAACTTTTTCTTGGATTTGCTTTGAAAGCTGTGTTTGGGCTTGTCAGCATCCAGTTCCATTTGTTTTCTTCTGCTTCCTGTTTCACGTACACAAAATGTCAGAAGTAGTGGCCAGTGAGACCTAAGGTCAATCATGAGGAAAGATCCGTTAGCTTGTTCAGGCAAGCTTTGATGCAAGGCCTTTCTAAAATGAACACAAGCCTTGGTTAGAAGTTGGTCAAAACTCACCTCTTTGTTCAAGCCCAGGACTGTGTGGATTATTCCATTTCCTGAGCTGGCTATTCATCCAAATCGTTTCTAGAGTTACTACACAAGGATTTATGAGTAAATATTACCTGTCTACCTCAAACCACATGTACTGCTGAAGCATTCTGTAAAACCACATTATCACAATGCAGTTTTAAGTGTAACATTAGAATTTAGGTATTTTCCTGTGTGGTGAAACTAAAGAAGGATTAAACAGTTTGAGCCTCCAAATTCGAATAAAGTTAATTCACCTTTATAGCAAACTTAATATTGCTGTATAATCTCATATTTGTAACTTTGTAGCTACCTTTGGAGTCACTTGACTTGCTATGGTGCTAAGTTGATAGATTTCAATGTGCAGCAAGGTGGGATATCGTATCCAGCCCAGTTTCTGGCCAGGTGCCACCCACCCTAAGCAACCCAGCTTCTGTCACCATTACCCTGATCAAACCTCAGCAGCAAAAGTACCTATTTTTCTAAGATTCCACCATGCGACTGTCTTCACTGCAGGACCATCCTGGCACCCTCTGCCTGTGGTCTGATTTGTAGCCTTACCTAGTTCAGAGCCAGGAGTGGAGGAACCTGCATCTGTGGACGCTCTGGATGGTCCGTTTCATTCCTGTCAAGCTCTCATTTGACATCAAAGGCTGCATTTTACTTTTTCCAGCATGAACACCAGGATCAGTTATTGATTGGTCCTGTAAGTTTTCTTAGCAGATGGAGTTGCTGTGAAGTTGTTTTCACCACTGTTGTGCTGGTAAAGCCAAGGCTGTCAGATGGGCCCTGCACACCTCCGGCAGCGGCGGGACCAGGCTCTCCCGCACGTGGTCTCGCTGGACACCGTTTTCACAAAAAATAGAAAACTCAGAATATATAATATTGAATTTAAGATTTGGGGGGTTTAAAAAGAAAACTTAACTTTATAAAATTATTTATTCTATTTTAAGCCTTCTATCATATATTCCCATCCAGTTGTTTGGTTTTGGTGGTCCAGCTTTATTTACAGGCATATAAGATGAAATTGTAAGATGTTTTGCAAGCTTCTTTTACTTTGAGTAGGCTTTAATTCATATGTTTTTATAGGGATGAAGAGCATTTTTATGCTTTTGTGCAATAGATTCCAACATGCATTATTAGGTGTGTTTAAATTGTGATGTAGCATCGATTCTGCTAAACAGAAAGGGAATATAGGTGGAATTTCAAAATATATGCATTTGCCTGTTTGGCTTTTCTTTTTCATTGTTGCTCTATGAATGCTGTTACTGGGATCGTGCATGCGTGTGTGCGTGCGTGCGTGTGTGTGTGTGTGTGTGTGTGTGTGTGTGTGTGTATGGGGGGGGGGGGCGTGTGAATACCTGCCAGCAATATTCAAGAACAAGTGCCACTGCAGCCCATTGGACCCTAGGCCCACTGTTCTGGTGCTGGGATCAAGTGGCCTCAGCCTGCAGTCTTGATGGTGCTGCTTTCCTGGCCTGCCAGCCCCTGAGGCCTGTGCTTGGCATTCAGTGTCTTTTTGTCTCTGGAGGCGTGCAGTATGGCGTTTCACAGTGATCTGAAATGGGTCCCCCAATTGAATGACCTAGGAATGAGCCAGCTGATTTCTACATTGTACGTAAATACTTAATGTGATCTCAAAACATTCAAAATAAATTTAGTGCAAATAGCTAAATCTCAAAAGAATCCAGTTTATCTGTTTCCTCAGGAAATCATTTAAGCCCTATCACATCACATGTGACCTTAACATGAAAATAAATGTGTTTCTCTGCCTTCATACTTAAATATACTAAGGAAGTCACTGGGATAAGTAGAGTAAAAAATCATCCTTAAATTACATTATAATCTTTACACATATTGTGCCCCTCGGGAATGGCTGAGGGGCCATGGCCGCCTCTCCGAGTGTTACTGTCCCATCCCTGAGTACACTGAAGAGTGAGCTGAGGCGTGTGTCCCTGAGGTGCATGCAGCATTGGTGTGAGTGTCCATTCCAGTAACTCAGATGGGTATTAGTGATATAGGTCGGGGACAGTAGCTCAGCCTGAGCCTTCACCCACGGCACATGGAAGCTAATGAAAGCTATCACAGTGTATGGAAATGATAATGCAGATACATATTTTTGACTGTTTAATTTGAAAGTTTACATTTTTTATGCTTTGTGTTGGTGTGTAATTTTTGTATCATCGGTGACTAGTTTTTTGTCTAAAATCTTTTTTGAAATATTGCTTAATGTTTTGATTTCATGATAGTGAAGCTTGTATTCAGTGTTTTGCCAATTAATATTATATGCTTGTAATAAAAGCAGAAGAAAAAATTCTCTGAGGCTGGAAATTTATTATATAAAATATTTGTAAGAGTATAAGACATGATCTGTTAAGGAATGGTCAGCCCTCTCTGCCTGTGCATTTGAAATCCAGAGATGCAACAAAATATGGATTCATTGGGTGCACATTTGGGGAGTCAAGTTCACAGACTTGCTCCCACCTCAGCGAAACGTCACCAAGATCTTGTCTTAGTTCCCAAACACTTTTATCTTCCCGTTGTAATCCTGATTCATCTATTACTGCGAGCCCTTATAATTTGAGCCAGACCTAATATGTAAACTGTTTCCTAGAGGTTTTTTTAGCTGATTAATTTGAGTTAACTAAATTAGATGATTTTTTGTGGGGCTATTTGGGTTACTCAATTGAAAAGCATGCTTTTCCTAGGCTAGACTGCAGCTAGCAAGTTGGTTATTTTAAATTCCTGGGACAGTTCTACGATTAGCAAGCAGGAGAGTGGCCAACTGGTGATTTTAACCAGCTCCTGGTTGCAAAGTCGAGAACCTGCTCCAGTTGTTACAGCTTTTTGGATAGTTCTTTGTCTATGAGGCAGGCTTCTGCCATCTTGTGTTTGTCTTTGTGGCAGGCTTCTACCATGTTGTCTTTGTCTGTGTGGCAGGCCTCCACCATCTTGTCTTTGTTCGCTTCTCTGCACCCTTGTCTCGCGTGTCTACTATTATGGACCAAACAGGTTCCTCCCCTTTGTTACCCTTGCAACTCATTCTTAATCATTTTAAGGATTTTAGGGATCCAGCTGCCAGATATGGAGATCCTGTCTACCCTAAAAGGCTGAGGACTTTCTGTGAACTCGAATGACCTTCTTTTGATGTCGGGTGGTATCTTAGTTACTTTTTACTTGTTGCTGAGACAAAATACCTGAAGCCCAAAGTTGGGAAAGGAAAGGTTTATTTCTTATAATTTTTGGAGGTTTTAGTCCACACTCAGTTGGCTCTAAGGCAGGCGGGCTGGGCCGCAGTTTGTGGCGGCTAAAAACAGAAGCAGGAACCAGCAAAAAGCCAGTCACACCTTTTTCCTGCCATTACATCACATCCTGGCTCCACCCTTTTGTGGGTGTAGCACTGAAACCATCAATCTAAGCACTAGACAATGAACAAATCACAAATGCACAATGCAAACTGATGAGGCCTGGGGGCCACAGACATCTCACCCCTGGCCCCCAGGACTCATGTACATCCTTTATACAAAAGACATTTAGTCCATCTCTAAGAGTTGCCGAAGTCCTAACAGTTTTAGCATTGCTGAAAAGTCTGAAGTCCCAAGTCTCCTCTAAGATCTATGGCAAGCTCTTAACTGTAAGCCCCTGTACAAATGAAACAAGGTTAAACATTTTTGAAATGCAAAGGCACACGATAAACATTACCATTCCAAAAGTTACAAACAGCGGAATATAAAGCATTGGAAACAAAGCAAGTCCAACATCCAGCAGGACAAACATTAAGTCCTAGAGTTCCACGCTCAGCATCTGAAGCAAACTGGTTATAAGCTCCAAAAGGCTTGGGTGATTCCACTCCCACGGCACTTCTGGCGATTTTAACTCCAGCAGCTTTTCTCTTAAATCTTCTGTGCTTTTTGCAGCTTTTCTTGGATCATCCACATTCTTGGCTTTTTTAAACTTTTGGGCTTTCCACTGCACCTTTGGCTTCACCTTTACATCTTCACAAATTGCCCTCTCAGGGGCACACTGCTTGGCCTGCCAGGCCCTTTGTAATCGAGGTGGAAGCCGTCTTACCCTCAGAATTTGTGCATTTTCCTTGCACCTAAAATCAGCACCTTGTGGATGCCGCCAAGGTTTGCTGTTAGCTGGGCTGCAGTTCATGGCGGCTACAAACAGCAAGCAGGAACCAGCAAAAAGCCAATCACACCTTCTTCCTGCCATTACATCACATCCTGGCTCCACCTCTTTGTGGGTGTAGCACTGACACCATCAATCCTGGGGTCCTGTTGGCATTTGTCTCTGATTCCTTTTGTCCTGCATAGACCCTGCAGCTGTTTTGTGGCTTGGGTTTGGCCCTCAGAAGAAGGCTGAGTCTTGGGTAGAGGGCTATGTCATTCTGCCTTGGCTGGGTATTGTGTGTCGGTGCCTGGTCTTGTCACGTGCCCCTCATCTGTAGAGGTGTTTCCCATCCCAGGAGCTGGTCATTGGTAGTCCTAATTTGCAGGATAGGAAGAAAGGTTGACAGAGTGCCCAGCACCTCAGCCATTGGATTATGTTGAAGGTTGCACCATGGGTGGCTTTGCAGCACCGTTGTGTTGGTGAAGCCCTTTCCACTTTACCATGTGGACTTCCCCTTGGAGAGCAGCTTTTTGCCCTAGGGATCCTTCTGCTTATTGGATTTGGTAACCACTATCTCCTAGTGCAGAATAAGCCATCCAGAGGACTATGTGAATGAAAATTACATGGCATGCTACGCATAAGGTTCTTCGTGTGTGAGATGCCCCAGGCAGCCAGGCACACAGGGTCTCTGTGATGGGGCCTCCATGTGAGGATGCAGGCACCGACCTTGGCCCTGCTGACTGCCAAGGATGCAAGCATGCCATGGGCTACAGACCAGAGAAAGAGACTCTGTCTTTGAGGCTGTCTGACTTCTGTTCCTGGAGCTGCTTGACTCTTCCACACACATCACGTGCAGGTGGTTACTGCAATGGAAGACACTACCTAGGTCAAGAGTTGACGCCTTAGCATCTTCTTGGAAGTGTTCAGTGAGTGTCAGTCCTGGTGCCTAGCAGCATTCAGGTGCCCTTCACAGCACAATCTTGAGGCCTAGGATGCCCCCCCTGGGTTCCTCCAGTCATCCAGGTGATCTCTTCTCACTCTCCTCATCCATGCATGGAGCACCATGCTGCCCTTTTTGAGCTCAACCAGAGCCGTGGAGTCTGGCCCAGTGGCCTAGGTAAACACCTCTCAGAAAGTCATTGTGCATAAGCAACCCGACTCGGTCCTGTCGTGGCCACAGTCGCACAGGCTTGTCAGAGGAAGTGCTGTTCCTAAGCCGCTGGGGAATAGGAGCACAGGAACATTGCTGCTGTCAGGAAACCAGATTGGCTTTTCCAAGTTTGTTGCTGTCTCCTGCCAGAGTACAGCATGGCAGGGCCTACACAGGCCTTGCAGGCTCTCGACACAGCTCAGCCCCTGTGACCCACTTCTCTTGGCAAAGAAGTTGCACACGGGGCGTTGCAGTTGGTGAGCATCATTTGTCTTGTGACTTACCCATTCAGGGTTTGAGCCTGTGAATTCTGCCATAGTCTAAAAGCTGTGAAAGGACTAGAGGATTACTCTAGTCCTGAGCACTCTGCATTGGCTTGGTTGTCCACGACACAACACTGTGGGCTGGCTTTACTCACATGTGTGCTCTGGTCTTCCTGGCCTTGCCTTCCGGGGGAGCACATCCTCTGCGAGTTGCCCTTTCTGCTGCTTTCATCTGCAGTCTGAATGGAGACTCATGGGTATTCCTGGTTCCTGGTAGGCTGCTCTTATTTTAGAGTTGCAGGTTCACCTTCATGGAGTTTTGCTCCTCGCCACATTGGGTGAGCTCGTCTCTAGATGCAGCCTCAGGGGCTGAAGATAGAGCTCAGTGGCATAAGCTCCTACCTGGCAAGGACAAGGTCCTGAGTTCAATTTTTGGTTTCCATTCCAAAAAAATCCTAAATGTTGGCTCAGCCTTGTTCTCTTCACTTCTCCACTGCAGGGAGGAATGGCAGGCTGGAACCCCAATTCCTTTCCTGTAGCCTAACCTGGGGCGTTGTCCATCAACTTCTCAGTTGGCCTTTATTGGAGGCCTCTCTGATGTGAACACACTAGTCTCTCAAATCATACCGCCTGCTGGATAGGGACTGGGGTTATCCTGTAAGGCAGGCGATACGGGCCGCAAAGGCTGGCATCTTCCCTGACTCCCTTTGGTATGTGGTATGCCTGCCCATATTAGGGAGCGTCTTTTGTCCTTCAGTTTAGGTCGTGCTGGCTTCTGGGCTTGGCTTCTTGTTGCCAGTGGGATCCCTAAAGCCACGTGCTGGCCCTGCCCACACCCCCGCCACTTCATTCCTTAAGACTGAGTGGGGTACACTCTGCCGGTGAACAAGAGTTTTGTCCCGCAGGTGCCCATGTGGCAAGGAAGGGTGCTACTTTCTAAGCGTCCCACTTTGAATACCTCTCTGTCTGCTGAACATAACCCCCCATGCTACAGCTGGGGAACCCCTTCTGACCCACCTGTTTGGACTGAGAGGGAAAGCCAAGCATTCCAAAAACTAAAATTGGCCCTTGCCCAAGCTCCAGCATTGGCCCTACCAGATTTGACCCAACCCTTTCTGCTGTTCATTGCAGAACAGCATGAGATAGCAAAGGGGGTATTGACTCAGATGTTGGGACCATGGCACCTCTCAGTTGCTTATCTCTCAAAGGTTGGATCCAGTCTCTTTGAGCTGGCCGAATTGCCTTCGAGCCATCGCAGCCACTGCCTTGGCAATAAAAGAGGCAGTAAATTAACTTTGGACAGAAACTCCAAGTTGTGGCTTCTCATGCAATTGAAATCCTCCTCAGGACGAGGATTGTGCAGTACCAGACCCCTTGCTTAACTCTTGACCTTATTGAATTCAAGGAGACTACCATCTTAAACCCAGCAACTCTGCTGTCAGATGATGACCCACAGGTACCCATCCATGACTGCATGGACTTGCTCTCTATCACTGCCAGTCTTTGTCAAGACCTTACTGATCTTCCATTAGAGAATCCAGATGATGAATATTTCACCGATGGTAGCAGCTTCCTTTTTGAAGGTAAATGGGTGGCAGGGGTGACTGTAACCACTCAAACACAAGTAATTTGGGCCCAACCTGTGGATCAAGGCACCTCCACTCAAGGGGCTGAACTCATTGCCCTCACGAAGGCCCTAAAGTTGGCTGAGGATCTAGGGGCAACTATCTACTCGAATAGCTGTTACGCTTTTGCTACCATTCATGTACATGGGGCAATCTACCAAGA